CCGATAGAGCATTCCGAGCGGTCAAGTCGCGAAGGTTATCGATAACTCGGTGTCCTCGACAGCGGGATCGAAAGAAACCGATCTTTTACCGATGTCTAAGCGGCATCCGCGCAATGTCGCCGCTTATAGCGACCGGGGGCATTCCGCGCGGCGAAAAATCCGCGCTGATTGCCCCGCGTGCTTCCATCGTGCGCGCGTTCCGGATCGCGAACGTCGTCGGTCGACGGTGCCTGGTGCCTGGTGCTCGTTTTCTCGGCTGTGTTTTAGCGCCTCGAGTCGCGCGGAGAGGCCGATTTACTGCCACGTTGACGATAAGTCGCGGTCTCGAGCCGCGAGAGTAACTGTAAAGGGACGTTCTCCGCCTCGTACCGATCCGAAGAAAAAGCTGCTTATGCTACGCGGCGCAAAATTTATTTACCCGTTGTCCTCTGACCGACGACTCGACGATAAACTCAAAAATCTGTGTATCTCGAGCGCGTGGTACGCTTCTGGTTTCCGCTTCTCGCGAGGGATCGGACACGCGCGTGAAATCGGATCAGTATGCACGAACAAAGTCACCCGGTGAACACCTGTGGCAGCAGGGACTGCCAGTCTGGCGTCGCTCTTCCGTGTCGGCACGATTACGCATTCGTTTGGACTAGGACGGTTTTCCACCGTCGTCCCATACTAATTACTCGCAATCGGTGTTTGTAAACATCGTGGTTAGGTTGGAGCACGCTTCTCTGGATCGAGCATTTGCAGGATAAAAGCCTCGTTGCACCGCGATCTTTCGAATTCCCCAGGCCACGGGGCACGGGGCACGGGGCACGCGCGTGTTTGCATGAGTACAAGTATGACTTATCGAAGCTAATCGAATCGATGTCGGTGCGCGGGCACCTTCCGGGTTGGCGCATTGGAATGTCGTCGCTTCAATCGGACGTATTGGTCGCACGTAGGCGCGGAGTAAGATCCTTTCAGACGCGATTGCCTCCATTCTCTCCCGACATAATGACGAGTATGGGTTTTTGTACCCTTCTTTTCCACGGTTGAATTTTCTCGTGGTTTCGTAACGTCCCAGCCTGCTTATCTATTCGCGATACATTCGAATGGGCCGATCGAGGACTGGCTGGCATTTCCGGGATCGAGCGTGGCGATTCCCGTTTCGATCAACGCGAGAACGTTACTTTTCAACGGGTTTATTGCGTGCGTCGCTCGACTCGCCCGGACCGGGTACAACTCGTTCCGTTGGATTTATTAAATGAATATCTCTTACGGGGATTGAATATCATTGACCCGCAGGATCGTTTGATCTTCGGCTGTTCGAGGATTTATGCCCGTACGCGGAGCGTTAAGTGCTTTCCGAACGGAATTAAATATCCATAAAAGTCGCGTTGAAAATTAAATCAGGATCGTTCGAGAATCATTAAAACGTTCGATTGTGCTTTTACTAAATGTTAACGACCGACGCAGCTAATTAATACGGTATAAATCTGCTCCGAACATAATAACCTTAGGGCTTTGTCCGTCCAAGGGAACGAGATGACCTGTCTCCCGTCGTTCTCCCCGTACATTTATCTTACAATTGCTAGCGTGACGGATAAACAGCGATCCTTTCGACTAAACGGTTTTTAAAGCGGCGGTCAACCGGTTCCCCCCCCGGCGAAACGATACTTTGCGAAGTCGCCTATCATCGCGGCTAACTTACTCCCGGCCCGTGCAATAAATAAAATCGAACGATCTAATTTCAAGTTCCGTGGAAAATGGCAGAGGATTCGCGACTCACTGGCGCGCATCGATCAACCCTCGACCATTTGACCGTGACTTCATAATTGCACGGCGAACGATTCTCCCTCGAGTTTATCCTCCTCTGCATCGGGCCGGACCGTTTTGCCAACGATTCGACGCATCGACGCTTCCTCGATCGATTCCCCGCCAATAGTTTCTCCGAATGATCGATTCGACTAATCATCCGCGCGGCCAGTTCCCTCCAACCAAATAGGCGGACGAGTTATATCGCGCGTCCGTCGTTTCCGTTTCGATTCCCGACCAAAGGGAAAGCCCATGATCATTATAGCTCCGTTCGGCTACAAAGCCACCAATATCCTCGTAAACGATTCTTGTCCACGAAGAGGAGGATAGGATTCGCGCGTCAGGTAGCCGCGACATCGAACCGCTGTTCGATAGGTGGGTAGTCGAATAATCGAGCAATGACGCGAGACGATTGTAGGGTAAGGCAGTTATCTTTAGGTCAGTATACTGCGTGCAACATCCAGGTTGGTTCCATGGAATGCCGTCCACTTCGTACGGGCTCCTAGGTACGCGTATATGCGGCAGCGTTCGCCAGAGATTGCGGTCTCTTCGATTGGGAGCGAACCGAGTGAAAGATCTCGAAAAGGAAGGCGATTAAGGGGGAATGGGACCTTGAGCGCGGTCAGCCACTGCGAGAGCTCCGGCAGACGGCGAACCCTGGAGCCTCGGGTATGCGCAACCGCCATATTGTTGTGACTACTATGCCCTGACAGACCCTGACCAGCCACCCACACTTGCAACCGTGGCTGCTCGCACTGTTCACCGAGAGTTAGAGGCCTAACCCGATGGAACGCAGCGACACGACCGGGCGAATATCTCTCGCAACTTTACGAACCCCGATGATTTATCGTTTCCCGCGATTATCCGTCAGCTTGCGTAACAGACGCGTTTAGCTTTTTTACACTCTTGTGGTATAAATACCGCGGATAGAAACCATATTATCATTACGGTTTTCTTTTTTAAACGCACGGCGAGTAGACGTGGAAGCGGTCGAATGGTTTTATTCGAAGAGTTAACGGAGGGATGTCAACAATTCTGCGTTTCGTTCTGTAAATACCACGAAAAGTTAAGGCAACGGCTATTCGGAACGTTTATTCCCCGTGAAAGGGCTGCGTCGTAAAGTTTCGCGTTTTAATGGGATCCTCAAAGCCCGGTTCCTTCGTTAGCAGTGTAAACCAGCTACCTGCGCCGGGCCTCGCCTCGCGGTTCTTGAATTATTCTTAACGGTTTCGTTCTCACACCCACCGGCCGCGATCGAGCATCCACTTTCGAGGAGTGGTGCCGCCGCTGATTAGCGATCGAAAGGAGTTTCCTTATTTCCCCTGTTCGTCGGTGCCGCTGATCTTTCTCGCCGTGATTTCGTAACGCGCGATTCCTCCGCGGGAACCACTTTTCCGGACGATTTAACGTCGTCGATCTCCGTATGCAAAAACAAACGACCGGTTTTCCACCTTGGATTATAAACGAACCGAGACCATATTTAGAAGTACGGTGCAGCCTGAGTCTTTAGTTTTCCTCTTAACGTCCTCTCTCTGTAAACGCCAAACTGAAATACGATGTGTACGACGGGGCTCGCACGAGGTGCGAAAATTCTTGACCATACATTTACTGGATCACGACCGTTGCTCGTAATAAGGCTGCGAGTGTAAATGATCGCGCGCGTTCGCGCACGCCCACGATAATCGACATCCGGTACATCCAGGCTAGCAATTACCGCGCGCCTTTTCTATCGGGTCGCTACGCGAGCAACGCTGTTCCTTATCTTCTTCGCGTAAACAAATGGGTCTTGTTTATATTGTAACTCTTTAGGAATTTCCTAGCGCGTTTTATCTGGACTGTCTTAGGTCAGTCCCGCTTCGGCGCTCGAACCGCCAGAATTTATAGTCTACGCTCTGGGGAGATTACGCGCGTGCAATGTTAATACGGTACCGTACAACTTTAATGAATCGGAATCGATAAACGTTATTGAAATTAATTCGAACCGTCCCGACTCCGGGCCTTTTTCTTTCCGCGAGTACGTCGGATACATTCATCCCGAATCTCTTTCTATTCGTCACTCGTTATTTTCACCGCGACGTCAGTCATCGAAGTGGTTGCTTCGGTGCGCGTTAACCCTTGTACATATATCTGGAGTCATCGACCCGAAGACGCTATCTTCTCGGTCTTGGAGAAATCTCTGCACGAAGTCAATCGAGTATAATTAAGGGGAATGTGGTGTACCGTCGCTAACTACAATGTGGAGAGCGTCGAGCAGGGTGGTCCCCGGTTTTTCACGTTAGATATTAAAATGATACGCGTAATGGTCGGGATATTTTTAGACGATCGTGACGCTGTGACGAGTACTGGTCGATGGATTTCCCACGTAAGTCGCGATCCATTTTTGGCGGACAATGATGGTAGTTACCATTTGGCGGTTGTATCGGCTATGACTAGAAATTCCTGGGCGTCGAAGGTGCGCCACGAGCGAGCTGATCGAGCAACGCCTTTGTCTTAGGTTCTGCCTCCGTTTTGAATGCTCGTCGGCGTGCACGCGCGAAACCGGAGAACCTTAGCGGCGCGTAACGCACCGAGATTAATGCGTAACCTTTATGAAGCGCGACGCGAGGCGGCGGGACGCGCGCGTGGGCGTGCGTGCACGCCGCGTGTTCACCGCGTCGGCCGAGAATTCCTTCTCGCGTGCAAACCTTCGCTACGAGTTCAATGGAATCGTTCCGCCGAGGGATCGCGCGCGGATCCTTTCGTTTCTCCAGCCTCCCGGATCGATATCGATCATCGCCCCGGATCATCGATACGCCAACAGCGTTGTTCCTCTCGTTTCCCGTCCGAGAAACACCGAGAAACCTAACGATCCGATCAACGTGGATTTCCGTGGAAATTAACGACGATTCAAGGCCACGCGACGGCGCTAACATTTTTGCGCAGTTAAGCTTAATAAACGTAAACGTCTGACTCGCGTAGTTTGACCGCCACCCCATGTTGCGTACGTAATTGTTATCTATTGACCTCCAAGACGCGTTTCAATGTGCTCGGCGCGCGCTTTTCGACGTTTAAATTGGCGAATTAAGATAAGAATGATGGTCTTACGGAGCACATCGATAAGCGTAATTCTCCTTTTATCGAAACGTTTCGACCCTTCGCGTAATACGTAAGGGACGAAGGGTGGTAAGAATAGCATTGCCTTATGATTAACAAAGTAGTTCTTGGAGACTTACCTTTTGAGTTGAATGCGTCGTTCTTACTGGTCGGTGACTCCAGGCATTCTGAGTTCTCTGTCAGATTCGTTTCGCTGTCGCTTCCCTCTTTGTCTCTGAAAAATTACAGAAATTATAATTGTTTTCTCAATTTTCGAATTCGACAGCCTATTTTCGTGTAATTTGAAGCAATACGAATCGTGTAGCTACGCTTACTCCGAAATGGAGTCGGACGAGTCGATCGTGTTGCTCCATTTTCGCGCATCGGGAACCCCTTTTTCGTGGCCTAAATGGACAATTAACTTTTTTCTCTCGTCGCACGCCGTGCACGGAATGACCCATATCCATAAAGGGAGCGATTGAATTTTTAAAACGACGATCCAACGGTTGCCATTAACTGCTTTAACCATAGCCCTTCGAAATTTCATTTTTTCACTTAACCAAAACGCCTACCCTCGTTCGAAAATGTCTGTACTCTACATACACTAACTAAAACGACGTTTCAAACTCATTGCGCGTTGTTTATCCTTGCTTCGAAGCCTAGATTAAACGCATTACCGGCGCGTTACAAATAAAAATAGACGTTTCACAGCCATAAATCATCGTGTGCGTCTCAATCGAGGCGAGCCGGAGTAAATTCCGGGCAAAAGGCATAATTTGCTTAGGCTCAAAGAATTCATCGCGCTACCGTTCGCTACGCCGGATAGTTGCGGATTAATGTACTGTAAATCTGTACCTACTTAAGCGTACACACGCTGGACATTGCCTCGAACGCAAACGCGTCGCGCGACAGATAAGATAGTAGATCAGCGTGAAAAGCTTTTCCAGTAAAATCAAGTAGATGGTACACTTTGATAGCCGGTAATAAGGAAGAGGGACCAGTTTCAGAACGAATCAGGTAGCGAGGAAAGGTATCTCTCGCGAGGGATCGCCGTGTTGCGCATTAACGCTCCTCCTTTTATTCTCTTTTTTCAAAACTGGTTTCGAGAACTCGATCGCGTTTATCGAGCGTGGATATTGTTAAACGTTCGAAAAATCCCTATCGTACGCTTTCGATAACGACACTTCCTTGTTTACGGATCTCTCGAAATCGTTGTATCTCAAACTCGCGATGCTTATATTACACCGCTACGTATCGTGGACGAATCTTTCCTGTTTGAAGTGCAAGTTGAATTCGAAGCAGATGCAGATACGTCTCGGTTTTATCCTTTTCGTTCGCGTTAAAAGAAAACAGTTTCCATCGATGAAAACGAAAGCGATCTTGACAATCGCGTTACAAAGTACGCCTCTATACCATTTGTACACAAAAATGAGACGTTATATCTTAACTTACGCGGTCGCGTACTCGAGGGAATTTGTTTCCTCTTCTTCGCCGATCGTAGCCAGGTTACTTTGCCAATAATAATCGTCGTCGTCGCTCTCGTCGCTGGTTTCGTCGTCCTCGACGGATCCCTGCTCGTCCCGGCCTCGATTCCCTTCCAAATTTCGTAGATCACGATCAACGTCGTTGAGAGATCTATACGACTCTTCCTCGTCGCTCTCCTGTCTCCCGAATCCCGTCGTCTCCGGCGAACGATCCAAATGATCGTTTCTGATCGACTGTCTGTCGTACTGGGTGTCTATGCAATCGTTGAATCTCGTGATCGCCTCGTCGCTTTCCTCCCCCGAATCCTCCGCTTCCGTCGAGATCGTGACCGCGGTCCTAAGTTTCGGCTTAGGTCTCTCGTAGCTCTCGACAATCTCCACCTGCATTCTCTCTTCGTCGTGGTCGATACTTTCCTCGTCCACGTCGTTTTGCGAAAATGAGTTGCTCTTCCAAGGCGACATCGCTTTCGCCTTCCTTATTTCGATTATCTCGAACACCTTGTTCGTCCTCTGGACACCGTCGTCCTCGAGAAAATCGTAATTCTCGGTTGACTCGGTGTCTTCCGTCTCGTCGTTTCTCTGCTTCTCCGGATCGGACTCGTTGCTCTGGTTCTGGTTCTGGTTCGCCGAACCTTTCTCTGCCTCGTCTCTCTCGAGAGCCTTTGACCTATCCTCCGGCTTTGCTTTGGCAACCGAGTCGTCCACCTTCTTAGAAGCAACTATTTCCGGACTCGACGGTTCCTCCGGCTCGAAGCTCGTTTGTTTGGTCTCCGGCTTGACTTCCGTTCGAGGCACGGCGGTGGGCGGCGGAGGCGGCGGGGGTGGCCTCTTCCGCCTGACCTTGACGTCCCTTCTTGGCAGCGGCTTGGGCGGCAGAATCGGTACATCTGGTTGGCCATCGGTGGTCTCGGATGCGTCGGACGATTTCCGCGGTCGAGGCTCGATCGAGCGTTCGTTGCCCGTCGTTTGATTGACGGTGATCCTGTTAACGTGATTCCTCGCCGGCAGAGGCGGAGGCGTCTTGTCCGAGGGTTGCGTTTCCTTGGGTTTCTCAGCGTCCGGCGTGCGGAATTCCTCGTGGCCGCCGTTGACGCGCTCGACGAGCTCGACGTCGTCTTTAATTGGCCTGAAATGCGTGGTCGAGTCGGCGGCCAGGTCCGCCGTGTAAAAGAGATCCGGCCTGGCCTCGTGGCCGTAGCTCAGCGGCGCGTCCTGGAAGCTCAACGGCGGCTGAAAGGTGATCGTTTCCTCGATCAACACCGTGTTCGGCGCTACCACCGCGGTGATCCTCTCCACTTCGCCTCGGGACTCGACGTGGGTCACTGCCTCGGAGTTTGCCAGCCGACGCAGCAGGTAGTCGGGCGGATTCGACGAGTAGTCGCCCTCCAAGTTCTCGAACGGACAGATCGCTTTGGACAATTGGAAATCGCGATCCGAGGTTCGATCGAACTCGTGGTCGGTCCTCAGGGAAGGTTCGCCGGGTTGTTCGGACGCGGTGGAAGCAGTCGAGGCGGTAGAGATGGTCGACACTCGGTCGGACGTCGAGAACCGGTCGATTACCGTCGACATCGAGCTTCCGGTGTCGTCGGATGTGCTTCCGTGCGTCGAACCGCACTGCGATCTAGCGTCCAGATACACCATCGCTTCCGGTGGTTCCTGCAAGCGCGCGTACATTAGTATCGACAATCGTGGCGAATATTTACGGATTAAATAGAATATTTCGCGTCGAACCTGTTTCGATTTCGCGAGTTCCGGCGAACGTTCCTTCGGCGATCCTTTCGGCGTCTCCTGGACGGATCCATTGGTGCTCTTCGGCGAGGACTCGCAGCTGTCGTACGCGCTGGATTTGCAGTCGTGCGATCCGGGGGAACTGTTTTGGGAACCGTTCTGGGATCTGGTTCCGTTCCAGGACTTTTTCACAGGACTTGGATTGGCCTCGCCGTCCGCGGAGCCACGAGCTTGCCTGAGCTTTCGCGGCGGAACCGGCGGAGGCGCCAAGGGCAGTTCCGGAGGCACTTTGCTCTTCTCCGGTGAACTTTTTTTCTCGGCGCTCACAACTTCAGGCCTGAGCGCTCCCCTGCACCTGACCATTAGCTTGATAACCAGCTGCGATTCCTTCAATCTCCTCACGCAATCCAGCCGAGTCATGTGTGTCACTGGTACACCGTCGATCGAGAGTACCTGGAAAAGAGACGCGGTTAATATGACCGGTGCGCACGTGAGATACGACAGACTCGTTTCTTGCACGGGTTACGGCTATAAACAAACCGCGCGCGGGTTCTCCTGGGAATCGTTACGCAGAAAGTGGGTCTCGCAAAATTAGAGGCGGAATCGCGTTTAGTCGCGCGACGCGGAACTGCTTGCGTTCGTCTAATTAATCGGTATATGTATTGGATGATATATGTAAAAGATAGTTCCTCTTACCTCGTCGCCTTCCCCCAGGGTGCCCCATGAACACTTTGCCCTGCTAGCCGGGCTTTGGTCCGCGCAGCTCTGTACGAACAGCCTCCTCACGCGTTCCGAGGTCTTGTTTCCTCCTTCGAACTTCAGTCCGAACCCCAGCCGTTCTCCCGGCAGCCTGAACACCTCGACCTCCTCTTCGAGGGGCCCGTCGACCCCGCCGACTTGACTCTTGGTCAAGGTCGCGGGTGGTGGCTCGTCCTCCTTCTTTCCGCTGCCGATGGACAACACGGTGACGAAATTTTCCGGCTGCGGCTGGCTCTCGACGTTCACCACCGTCACAAAGTCCTCGGTTACATTATTGGTGACATCCATTTTCCGGACCGTTCCTAAAGCGTTCCATTCATCGCAAGCCCGCTGCTGATCTTTACACTCCGGAATGCTGGCCACTCCCTGAAACCAAGTCCACGCCATCAGTGGACGATCAGTGTCGTAATCGACGGACAAGTTTTCTCGGAAGTTCGACGGAACTTTGTCAGTTTTACGGAGCAAACGATCGTCCGCTGGTTTTTCCAACGGGTCGGCAAACGACGTTATTACGCGGCTTTCTCCATTAATTCGATCATAGCAATAGTTGCCGCGACGTAAGAAACGATCGAACGCCGGTTGCACGGTGACAATTTTCGCGAATGGAAAGATAACGAGCGCGTCTTGGCACGCGAAGAAATCGGAGGGCAGCGATCTAAACCAGGGCTTGATAAACTACGGTCCGGCGTGCTAGATCTGGCTTTCCATCTATTATCCTACGGCTCGCGAGGTTAGAATGTTTTTCGAGTAAATCGACAGTGTCTCGAAATTGCTGTTTCAGTACCGTAACGCGACGCAGCCATAACCACTCGTTCACGTATTAATCTTGTTATTTGGCACTATGATACAGACATATTCGAATACGCGAAACCATGCTACAAATTGGTCTTGTTCTATCTACAGGCGTTTGCAATCGATTTCAATGACGGGGAACGCTAACTCCGTAATCCAATCCAGAGGACTTTTGCACCGATACAAACCTAATTCCATTAGGCTCGTAAACAAGCGAAGTTCCTCGCAGTTTGACAACTCGAAACTCCAACTATTCCGTATCGATACCACCGTATCCAACATTCTCGATATTGTTTCTAAAAAGTTCATCGACCCCCGATAATCCAGATGATCCGGATCCAGGGTTCTCCGAAGTCGAGGGAAATTAGAGTGTGCTCTTAGAAACCTCGCGAATTGTCATCACCTCGCGGCGGCGAATAAACGTCGGGCAAACTGTGTCACGTAGCACGAAGATCTTCTCGGACGGTCATTAAGCGATCTTTAACTACATGCCGGCTGACTCGCGTGACCAACTTAACGCGGTGCTTTCATGTTCTCTGCTCGTACCGGCTCGTTTCCCTGTCCGTGTACTGTTACAATACGATTACGGTACAAATTGCGCGAATAAATATAAAATACGCCGTCCAGGTAAATCAGCGTCGGACCGGTGTCTCCTCGAGCTCCCATCGCGGATCCGCTTCGAATACGATTTTCATTTACATGCGTTAAGAAAGTTAATTAACCGACCGACCACGTGGCTGGTGGATCGCGATGTCGGGCAGAAGAAAAATAACCGAGATCTCTTCTCACGATAGAGAGACTGTTTTCCAGAAAGTCGGGAGAGAGATCCCCTGGAACGTACCGACCAATAACTCTTCGAGGGGCGATGCGACTCTTTTATTCACCGCCTCCGTTCGTTTTCACTCATCGGCATCCCGATTCGTCTAACGATATGTATAATGCGCTCCTCTCGTCGCGAGAAAGTACGCTCGCCTCCAGCCAGGGATCGCAGGCGAGCTGCCTTTCTTTCCGTCGCCCGCGTACCGCCTCCGATTTCCGCAGAATGCGAGAAGTAGAAAGTAGATTGACCCCGGGTCATCGACGGCCGATCAGCTGATCCTCCCTGGCCTCCCTCTAACTGGTTCTTCGAATCACGGCCGTCATTTTTTTCATATTACCGCGATCCTTTTCACGGCGAACGTTCTTGCGCGATCCGCGGGAATGGAAAGTCTTTCCAACCTCGTAAGTCACTCCGTTGAAACATCCAGTCGAGGATAAGCCGTTTTCCTTCCTCTCGACGCCCGCGTGTCAAGGGCTCACCAGATTTACGTTTTCTTCGCTTTAGAGAAAATCCTGCTTGCGATTCAGATCTTCGTTAGACGCCAGGGGGTAATAATTTTTGTGAATCAAGGGGTTTTTTGCTCGCGAACAAATAAAACCTATAAAGACGGATGATTCGATGAAATTCGATGCACTCACGGCCCATAATAACGTAGGTAACGATGCTTTCTCTGGGACAATGTCGCGAGTAATTTGGTTAAGCGTTATTTTATCTGTATTTGCTACGATTTGGCGCTGATTAGGGTCAATAATAAAATGTGTTATTCGCGGTTAGCGACGTCGTTAGAAAGTTACCCTTGCGCAAAGAAGTGGTGGGCGCGTTAGCTTCTGAACCGTTTCGAACATCAACTTCTGCGTGGCACGCAACTTTGTCTTTCGTTACCTTGTAAAATAATGGCCCCACTCGAGAGAAACTTAACGCGACAACTGTTGGAAGATGTTTTTTAAAAAAATAAAGAAGACGCGTTCTTCGAAACGGTTCGCGTTGTGCGGCAAGAAATATTATCGAACGCGTGTCTCGCGATAAATACCGAAAGCGTCCTTCGCCGATTTCCAAACATTCTCCGGGGAAATGTCAAGGTATTGAACGAAGTCGAGACCACTGTTTGCAAATACACGGTAGCTTCGAAGCTAGGAAACGCAGGGAACATGTTTTCCAACGCTCTGTAAACATTTTTGCCTATCTAATCAGCTTCTATTATGAAGTTCCTTTCTCTCCTATAGAAAGTTTCTCGATGTCTTCTTATGGTTTTATTATACCCGATTTCTTATTGCCATTTTCAACTTGCAAGAAAAGGATTGTGCGTGATCACAGTTTAAAATTTTTAGTTAAATAAAAAATCCTAATATGATCTGTGCATCCAAAGCAAAAGTCTCCAAAAGCTCGATTTGCATGTGGTAATAAGAAATTCTGCATAGTAAAACCGGAAAAAGTTATCGAGAAACTTTCTACAGGAGAGAAAGGATGCTCATAATAGAAACTGATTCTTATGGGAGGTTAAAGGTGAAACGACGCTGGTAATGGACAAACGAATTAGTCGATGAATGTCAAGTTCAACGCGGGTATTCAAGGTAAAAAGTGTTTCTCGTAATTTCTCCGTCATTGACCCCTGGTAAGAATTACCGGTCGATCTCGAGATCTACAACTTTGACACAAATTTCATCGCTTTGATCTATAGTGTGCAACTTTCGTAACGCCGGCAGGTGCAGAAAGGCTTGCTCCCGCGATCGCTAAAGGTATTCGGAATTAACATCTTCGAAGAATCGCGTGATACCTGCGCCGTCGAGAGAACCACGGGGTTTTCTTGGCGAGTCCCGGTTAGAAAAGCGCAGAACGCTCGTTAACGGTTCGCTTCGAGATTCCTGTTCTACGTCATTGATCATGAATAATCGAGTGCACCGGTGGCGGACTTTCTTCCCTATGCGCTATCGCGAATCTGAAATTCCATTCAGCGCCGGAAACCTGTCTCGGCTGAGTTATCGTCTCACGCTTCCGTGACGTTGTCAAATGATTAGCACTTGTACCGTGCTATGGCTTAGTCCGTCGAATCTGACATTTCTTACGAACAAAGAACCGAAACACCGTTGAGAGATTCTAAATCGCGAAAGTCTGTTTACGGAAAAAATTCGAAAGCGTCGAACGGTAGTGTTATTTCTCCAGAAAAAATCGTGCGTAATTTGTCGGAGGAGGATCGGTGGTTTTGGAAGAGGATCGTAAAAAATGTGTTGGTGGGCTAAGGAGACGGGGGAAGCCGAAGAGCCATACAAGTGCGCGTAACGGAATTCGTAGCCGCGGGGCTGACCGGCACATTCTCTCGATATGCTGGCTCTCTCAGGACTCTCGGCTCCGGCAGTCTCGTGAAAATATTACGAAACCGTGTTCCGTATTCGCGAGATGCGCTCGATCGATTCGGATCTGCCCCGGATACTTCGTTTAGCTGCGAACATGACACAGAAATTAATTTCGAGAACGACGCGGAGAAATAGAAAAGCCTAAAAAGTACGGTCTCGGACTCAGCTCGACTCGATAGCTGCGCACGAAATGCGAACGCGCGTTCGTTTCCAACGCCAACCCAATAACTCGAAGACTTAGGAAACCGTAAACCTCTGGCAAATACAACTGGATGGCGATTAACTTGACCCGTTTCCCGCGATTATTGGTAAAGCATTTCTGCATACAGGAATCGTTCCGTGCGACCTAGTCGCGTTTCGAACAAGGTTTGGCGGATAGTTTTACCGGTAAAACTACGGCCAGCTTAAAACAGAATCCCAACTTTCAAGGAAGCGATAGTCCAAACATTTCAGAATAGTTAAAATAAGATTTCTGCAAGATCGTTGCTAATCGTTGTCGCGCGAGTGTAAAAATGACAATTCTCGGCGACAGGTTCGTTCTCACGAGGTTGTTAGCGGTACGTTTAGGTCAATCGCGGTTTTCCGCGTGGAATGGTATTCGCGATCGCGTTCGTTACCGTAAACGAAGCTAGAATTCCCGTCGGAATGCCACGAAACTGCATCGACCACGAATACGGAAATTCGAAATAGCAGCGCTTTTTTCCCTCCGTTTCCAAACCAATCTCGTTGGACAAACGGAACTGTATTCGTCGCGCAAACACGATTCCCGAATGACGAAAGGCTTCCAAAGAGGAAATTAGGGCGATATTGCTCGGGGCTTGCCCTCCAAGGGGAACCCTCTAACTGTCCATCCGCCTTGACACCCAAAACTGTACCGCATCCTAATAAATGCACGGCTCGATTACCGGCAAATAATCGGTTTGTCAAACAACCGGGACAGCTAAACCTGCTCTGAATTAATAAACCGCTCGAACTGACCTACAACTCGACGCCATTCTGGTCGCGCGGTCTAACTCGGATGGACGCATTCTACTTTTAGCCCCGCTCGATTAATTCCGATTTTCTGGCGCGTCTTTGCGATTCCACCGGTGGCCGGATACGTCTCCTGGTATCGTCGAACTTTGTGTAACAGCGAACGAACGGAATACAAGATCGATCGATCGTCGATCGCCTTACTTTGCAGCAACGAAAACCGCAAACCCAGACGCGGAGGAAATGCAGCATATTTGATATACCGCCAGCAATTTCGAGTAGCAAAGTGCCTGAAAAACTTCGAACGTTATCTAGTTTGTAACGCGGTAAATAATAGGGGAGAATGTTAACCACTGTCGTTCGTGAACGAACCGTAATTTTATCATTTCCGACCCGATCTCTCGACGAGTAAAAAGCCTCGATTTGCAACTTTTTCAGCGAGCATTTTCCAACGATTTTTTTTGGACACGCTCGGAACCTTTGATTTATGATCACGGTTCAACGACATTGTGGGAAAGAGAATCGAACGTTTCTAAATTACTTTCGAATCGAAACGCGCGACAGGAAGAATTCGTAACCGGTTGCATAGTTTATCGAACGTCTAATCGATGCGATTAGTTGCCCGGAAAAATGTACGCGATTTGGGCGTCTTAACGAGCATGGATTTAGCGACGAAGGCGATGTCGTCGCCCTTATTTGGACGCGTCGGGTGTTCCGCGCGGAAATGTTTACACTCGCCTAACTGGAGGCCCGTAACCCCTTTGGAATTCTGCATTTTCCCAGCCGTAAACGACGTTACAATGCGGCAGAATTACGTAACGGCGACGTTCTCCGTCACGCTTCACGCATTTTGACAGCGTGTTTCATTCATTATTTAAAATCTCGGCTATTCTTGGTGCATTCATGACACACAGTGGTAAAAGCACTGATTACAGCTGGACGGAAATAATATTTTGCTTACACGTTTCGATCTAAACTCGCTTGGACAATGTGTTAACGAACATACGCGAATGGATAATTCCGAAACACGCGTCTCGTTTCATTCGTATTTACCCTTTGGTGTTAATCGATCGAATAAACTTGACCCTGATTTACATGTTTTATTTGGTTACAAACCATAAAACGCAACTTTTAGTATGCTAAAACTATTCGGGGAATTTGGAAATTAAAAACAAATCTATAGACCTGCTTCGACGAATGAACGTTTTTCAATAACCCTAACTCGCCATTAGCGTGTTATACTTTATTCGATCCACTGGTTGTCCTCGAAACTTTTTCAATACCTATAGTCTGTCACACCTAGTCCGTAGAAAACTCATAAATAATATTGTACTCCGTAACTTCAGCGTTTATGTAAACATAATAGTAGTTCTGTTTCCGCTATTTGCGTCATACATTTTCGTGGTTGCATTTCTAGCGTGTGAGATTTTAATCAAATTGGGGATCGAGCAAACGCGTTAGATTTAAATTACCGTGTTTCCAAGCCACGTATAACCCCGTTTCTTGAAACGTTCGTCCCACGCGTTCTCCGAACCTACATTCTCAGGATTTTTCGTTCGAGGCAAACCATAAACGGTCCGGTCGCGAAAAGATCGGACAAGACGATCCCAGACGATTCGTTGCGCGATTCGTAACACTCGAGGAATTCCTAAACGCGTTCGTCGATCGGAAGCGATCGTCGCGACTCGGAAGTCACAATTTCGTTGGAATTATTTTAATGAAACGCTTTGGCAAAGTAGGCCTGGAGGGTTTAGAAACCGTGTGCCGCGCAGACGGAAGCGTTGTATAACAGAGCACAAATGTAAGGAAAAATGAAGGTATTAGAAAGAGCGGCGTGTCATCGGAGCGTTACTTGAGCGCTGAAAAGAGGCAATAGGAAAGAGATCGCGACGCGTGCTCTGTTGTTTGTTTGGCAAGAGGCGCTTCCTAGCCGAAGCGTCGACGTTCGGCCGGTCGAAACTTTCACGGGGATCGGGAATAATTATCCATGCATCGGCTCGGAATACCTCGGAGCTAGGAAATCGCGGCGCGACCGAGAACGAGCTGGCTAGAGAGAAAGAGAGAGAGAAAGCCCAGAGCCACCGTCTCTCCAGTTGGGGATAAAAAGCGCGAAATGCCATCGGCTTTCAAAGGCCCCGCGCTGTCCGCTGCCTCGAAAACTGGTTTTACGAGAGATTTCTTGTCGATCGCGGCATTATTGGCAACCTCTTACTCCCGCCGCGGAGGAAGTTAGCGGATCGATCGGGAAATCCGCAACTATTTTCCTATTTTCGGGGGGAGATGGAAGGAGAAACGCGAAACGCGAAACGATGGTTTTCGAGTAGCCGACGACTTTTAACATTTTCCTATCGATATGACGTTCATCGAAGCCGTAGAGCCGCGGTCCGTTAAACGGATCAACCCTGGAATATGCTGTTTCGATAGCGGGAGGCCCCGTGTCGCGTCCAATATGCCTGCTCTCGCGCGTATATTCCGCCACCTGCTGCGATGAATTTCAAATATCCACCGCGTCTACGCCTATATCCGAGCAACTCCTGAAATAATAATCGACGGTTCGCGTACACCGCCCGCTCCACGGTCGAAACATCGACCACACGACCGTCTTCGAGGCCGCGTAAACTAAATCGCCGAATCCCAAGCGGACTTTTTGCGAACGTAATCGCGGAGAAACTCGTTGCGCCAGTTCCCACGTCGATTACCGGTACTTACCATTCATTCGCCGCTAGTGTTCATCGTCGAAATAGCACCGAGACCGGCCGTGTATCCCGGTGGGTGCATCCAGCGGTGCTCTGGCCACGTGAGTCGACCTTCGATCTCCGGTTTCCCGCTGCTTCGCGTTGTCCGCGCGTACGGATACCGTTAAAGCCTCGATTCTCGACGATCGATCCGCGATACACGACGATAACTCGTTCGATCGGCGTCGTTGGCTGTTACCGGGCTGGAATCGCGACGATACGAAGCCGGTTGACACGGGGACAGAGAGCTGCACGGCGATCGAGCGCGATCACGTGGCCACGACACGCGGAAATCGATGGTTCGACGTGCATTCAGGACAACGCGCCGTGCCGGACTGGCTCGCCAGTAGGCTGACTTTCTTCCACGCCGCACCGCGGATCGCCCCTTTGATTACAAACACCGTCTCCTGTCTCTCTTCCCCCTCCCCTCTCCCTCGCCCACCTTCCACCTCTCTCTCTCCCCCTCTCGTTAACTCTCTCTCTGTCTGACCGTGTCGCCCGTTCACTCAACCTCCTTCACCCGCGAACGGTGCGCCCATCCGTTCATCCCGCTCCTCGTGCAACGATTCCCCGGTTCGATTCGCCGCTCGTACCAACAGTATTCCGACGAATTTACTCGATCGTGAAAAAAAAACTAAAATTCCGATCACTGAACCTTCTCGAGATCTTTCGGTAGGATACGCCACGTTTGGTACATGGCGAGGAGCAAAACACGCGGTACGATTTTACGCGAATCCAAACGGAGCACCCTTCGAACACCCATCGATTATTTTACCCTTCGTCAAAGATTCGGAGGAAATACTCGGGAAAGTTTACCGAAATAACGCATGAAACATAGTTTGTACGACTCGATAGCGTCTCGAAGCCATCGCTACGGCTGCGCAGCTTACTTCGGCAATGTGGGCTACGAGGCAACTCGTTCCAACGAGATTCTGCGGTACACCTGTAACATTATTCGCGCACTTGTCGCTTCGAGGAAACGCGTATTTTCGGTGTTATCCGCCGATCGAACACGAGTACTATTCTTCGAGATACGCGCTACCGCGTACACCTGTACCAACACCAACGATGAAAATTCTGGACATCGAGTCTATCGAAGAGAGCTCGTACGTCTTAATGTTGATTAAACGAGGGTAGAAGGTTTTCGGCCCGACGTTCCTCGAACGAATTCAAAGTCGTTTGTTTCTCTCGGTTCGAGGAGAATGCAGGCTACAAGATTCTGCACCTCGTCGACGTCCCATATTATCCTCGGACTTTCCATAACGATTAAGCCAGGAGAAAAGTGCCGTAGGCGTACTCTCGGGGAGCCTTATTCTCCTATCGTTGTTATTACCCTCTCCTTGTTTCGTCCCGGGGGAAGTCTTCCCGCGTCTAGTCGTCGACTGATCCGAAGCCTCCTTATTAAACCGACGCACCTCCAGGTCCCGACAAGCCAAATTTATTCGTGTTCGAGTACAACATCTACTTACGACCAGTCTCGGTAGTCTACGTACACGTAAACTGGTCGTAAAGTATTAGCACGCTCGCTGGTCAATATTTGGACTATCGTAACTTGGGCGAAAAAGAGCTGCACGATAATCTTTATGGAGTCATTTTAAAGCCCGAACCTTTTGCTTTCACATTCCTCCGTCGAAGATGATTTTATTCTGAATTTGAAGATTAAATATATTTCGATTCGATTCCACTTCGAATGGAATATATGTGCGATCGGTGATTAAAGATATTTTATTCCACCGAACAGGTATTTTAATCAGAACTAGCAAACAAATATCTAATCCCGTACGAATAACAGGTGTGTTCTGTAATCATACTTATGGCCATTGCGTAATCCAGTGCTGGGGGACACGCACCTCGTTCAAAGCACGTCGGGCACCGTGTTTGGAAAAATGTTAGATAGCAAACCGTGGCACGTATGGCATTTAACGAGCCAAGGTCGATGGAAGCCGCGACGAGGATTAAAGCAATAGCCCGCTGGTATCCCGGCCGGTGGGTTCATCGTGATAAAAACGCGATACTCGAGTTACGTCGATTTGTTTCTCACCGATATAGAACTCGCGGGTAATCCTGTCAGACGTGTCCGACACACCACTGGCCTGTTTCGCAAAACCACAGATCCACCGCGTTGCAAAGTGGGAGACCAGTGAATCCGATGAACGATTCGCCCGACCATTGACGTTTCTCTCCCACCGTGGGCCGGTCGTCGTCGATTATTCCCCATTAATAGCCACTTTCGCCGGCAAAGCTGTGCCGCCTCGTTGATACACGGGCGAAAATTCCGGAATGCCGGAAGCCGAATTATGCAAAAGGCCGCGCAACAATACGGCCAGGCGCTGAAATTTGAAAGCCTCGAGGACTGTGAGAATGTTGCGCGCACGCGTTTATCGGGATCGTTGATTCAGCAAGCAAAAGTAAGAAACGAGCGTTTGTTTTCCGCTCGCGTTCCCGCTCGAATCCGTTTCGACCGAAAAATTTTGCAACTTCGATCCGCTCCGATACAATGAGAATCGTTTGTGTAATCCGTCGTTGCGGCGAAACCGCCAACAGCGCGGAACTGTTTCATAAAAATTGCTTACAACCTCTGCGCACATTCAACAAGTATGTTCTTAGCGGTCAAAACGCGGTTGGAGTATCGAATAAATAATTCGACGATGAGTATAGATGCCGTCTTGAAAGGGTAGCGTTTCGACTCCGCGAAAGAGCATAACAGAATATTCCGCAGGTGCAAGTAGAAACGGGTTTAGCGGAGGATTATATTTCGAAAGCGACCGACGCGATGGAACGATTTTCTATTTGTTTAATAAATTATCGCATCTCTTCGAATGCTTACTTTTATCAGCCTTCTCGGCATAGCACGGAGTCGTAAACTAGGAGAATAAGTACCTCTGGAACTGTTATTTTTTTTTTAGGCGAGTAGCCATCAAGATTCTTTCGCGAAGTTTGTAAGCGAGATCCTGAAACTCGCTCTTTCAGGGTCAATGGGACTTGGTCCCACGACCTTCCGTCCCGACCTTAACAATTTTACGAATTATTAACGCGTCTCCGTACCCGTACCCACCATGGAGGAATTCTTCCTGCTGCCGCCATCGTGTACCGATAATTTGCTGGTAGAATAAGTACTTTCGCTCGTGAATCCGCGTCGCGCCGTGAATATACAGCAAAACCATAAGAAGAACGCCCGGAAGTCGTTTATCGCGGCTTAGCTCGCGAGCATAATGGATGATATCGGCACCGCGGAGTCTGCGAACCGTGACGTTTTTCATCGATATAGTTAAACGGTCTTTCGTCACGAGCAACGCGCAACCAACTCTTGGACGATTATTAAGCCTTCTGAAAAATCAACTGCAACCGCAATTTACAAAAATTAGAAACCAACATGGCCGGTACAAAGCTCCGGGCGAAAACAAAAATGGTGACTCCGGACGAGGTACGCGATTCGTGTTGGTTGCAATAATGGAAGAAACGCGGCAAAAAGGTGGCTCGGTGCAATCTTGCGGACGCTTTCTCCGCGACGATAACTCACCGTTGTCTCTTCCGCGAGATCGCATCGACCCATTTGTCGCGGATCCTCCGTCGGAGCAGGGCCGCGCGAAAAATCGAACCGTCGCGTCGCGTCGTTTCTCCGACAGGGTCAACGGCGTGGAATCGTCCGAATATCCCGCGATCCATCGGTCAGAACCGACCCATAGAGGGGGAGGTACCTGGTGGCCGACGATTCGTCGAACAGGAGTAACGGCTGCGGGCCCGTGGCACGTTTTAACGGTATATTTCCATCGCGCGGAGATCTGGGTTGCTGGAGCGAGCAGCATAAGCAAGGTGCGCGCGTTTTCGCTTACAGCCGCGTCCACGATTTCATGCATTTTACTACGCGACTCCTAATCGCGAATCTATGCTCGTTCGATATTTTTTTTATCCTTTGACTCGATCGCCCGTCCCCTCGAACCGTCGGAAACGATGCTCCGACTTCCGTTCGTTTGATTATCCTTAAAAAGGAGAACGAAGAAATTAGGAATATATAAATAAAATAAGTGTGCAACGTATACATGAATAAGTTGGATAGCGATGCGAAGTTTTAAACAATAGTTGCGCTGAATCGGTAATATACAGCTCGGAGTAAAGAACAGTTAAATGTGTGAAAGGAGTTGCGAAGAAGGTCAAGAGAGATATCGAAACTATTTGCGAATATATTCGTACGTTTAATGCGATTTAATTTACCGGACTTGCTATTTGCGAGAGTTCTTAAATACCTTAAGAAAATCTGATTCGTAACGCTATCGCGCTGTACACGCGAGTACGGAGATAACATCGAGCGTTGCTCGTAGTTCCTTTAGTTTCGTTATAATTATGGCACGTGGTTGGAAAAGGAAAATTTATATTTTCTAAATTAATGGAATTTGATTGTTGAAACGTAGAGGCTTGGATGACTAATCATACTTCGAACTAGGACGAAGTAGAGTCACGTAGTACAGTCATACTCTGACTTGTGTCGTTTCTAGTTACCCGACACGGTAGAATAAATTCTTGATTTTCGTCTTACTTTGGCCTTTAGAATCTCCTGTATATTTTATAGTTGCAAATATAACTATACACTTTCACCAAAGAGTAAGAAACGCTTCCTTGATAGGAATTTTTTCGTAGAGAAATTAGAATTAGTAAATTCAAGGGCTTCGGAATTGTGGATTTATCTCGAAAACGAGCATCCATGTAACTCGGCGACACGCAGCGTTTTATGGCGCTGATCGACGACAATGAAATCACGACGTTATTCCTGTCGCGTAATCGTCATCGCGTTTTACCATGTTTGCCGATTAACTTCACGTAAGAATCGAGAAAAACGTCGCCAGTTAGGGTCGTTTGTCTTTTGCGTTTGGAGGTCGATCCGAGGTTGCAAATCGACACAGTCCAGATTCCAGCGACTTCGATTCTGCCGCGTATCGGGGACGATCGACGGCTCGACCGGCGATTACCGATTCCGGCAATCATCCTGGCGAACCGAGGCCCGGAATATTGTAGCGTAGCCGCTGGAACGAGGGTCTCGAATCGCGTGGAACCGACTAACAGCTCTCGACCAACGGTGCAACCCGCGCACCGTGCCAAGAATTTCGCCAAGGAACGTTCGGCTCGCTCGTAAACTTAGGAAACGTCGTTTACGAACACGTTAAACTAAATTTCAGCGCCGTTCTGGACGTATGACAAATCAGTGGTAAAACAAGAAGCAAAGACAAATCTTGATCGATCGATCCAGCGTTCGTGCAACCTTGCTTCCTCTTCCGACTCTTCTATAGCAAGATGGTTAAAGAAGCGACCATGATATCACATCTTA